AAAGTACCTAATTATACTGTGTTAGATGACAATGAACTACGTCTAGGTATAAAGTATCTAATTCTACTGTGTTAGATGACCATGAACAATGTCTAGGTATAAAGTACCTAATTATACTGTGTTAGATGACAATGAATAATGTCTAGGTATAAAGTACCTAATTATACTGTGTTAGATGACAACGAACAATGTCTAGGTATAAAGTACCTAATTCTACTGTGTTAGATGACAATGAATAATGTCTAGATATAAAGTATCTAATTCTACTGTGTTAGATGACAATGAACTACGTCTAGGTATAAAGTACCCGTTCATTGTCATCTAACACAGTAGAATTAGATACTTTATACCTAGACATTGTTCATTGTCATCTAACACAGTAGAATTAGATACTTTATACCTAGACATTGTTCATTGTCATCTAACACAGTAGAATTAGATACTTTATACCTAGACATTGTTCATTGTCATCTAACACAGTTTAATTAGGTACTTTATACCTAGACATTGTTCATTGTCATCTAACACAGTAGAATTAGATACTTTATACCTAGACATTGTTTGTTGTCATCTAACACAGTAGAATTAGATACTTTATACCTAGACATTGTTCATTGTCATCTAACACAGTATAATTAGATACTTTATACCTAGACATTGTTCATTGTCATCTAACACAGTATAATTAGGTACTTTATACCTAGACATTGTTCATGGTCATCTAACACAGTATAATTAGATACTTTATACCTAGACATTGTTCATGGTCATCTAACACAGTAGAATTAGGTACTTTATACCTAGACATTATTCATTGTCATCTAACACAGTAGAATTAGATACTTTATACCTAGACATTATTCATTGTCATCTAACACAGTATAATTAGGTACTTTATACCTAGACATTGTTCATGGTCATCTAACACAGTAGAATTAGATACTTTATACCTAGACATTATTCATGGTCATCTAACACAGTAGAATTAGATACTTTATACCTAGACATTATTCATGGTCATCTAACACAGTAGAATTAGATACTTTATACCTAGACATTATTCATTGTCATCTAACACAGTAGAATTATATACTTTATACCTAGACATTGTTCATTGTCATCTAACACAGCATGATCAGATACTTTATACCTAGACATTGTTCATTGTCATCTAACACAGTAGAATTAGATACTTTATACCTAGACATTGTTCATTGTCATCTAACACAGTAGAATGAGATACTTTATACCTAGACATTGTTTGTTGTCATCTAACACAGTAGAATTAGATACTTTATACCTAGACGTATTCTACTGTGTTAGATGACCATGAATAATGTCTAGGTATAAAGTATCTAATTCTACTGGTTGTGTTAAGGACAGAAAAGGTAGAATATAGTAAACTGATCAATTAACAGAAATTACATTAAATTGATTGATTTAATATTTCCATTTATTACTGTGTTCGATTATTCCAACAATCAATCGACTGAAGTTGCGATTAAATCGATTGTTACAAGAGCAACCAACGAATCAGAATTAGGGCTTTTGATTATTACTATATTTGGTTATTCTAAGTATTAGAAATATTGCCACCAAACTTTCTTGTTCCGTCTTTGTTAATTATGGTAAAACTACTAAGGCCATCTGCCACTGTCATCAATTTTGAACCGCTAACTTGGTAAATTTATAAACTTAATATGAACATCAGATGTATATAGTGTATAAATTGATTTTTTCAACTATGGCTATTAAACTCCCATCAAATGATGAAGGAAGATGAATATCTAATGTATATATTGATTTTAAGCTCTTAACAAATGACTAAAGAAGTACATTTTCCTAGGAATTAATAACTATAAAGGTGAGCATTACAATGTTTAACGATACATGTAGATCTACTGACATGAAAGGCCAGTAATGAAATGTTTAAAATAACAGGCATGAGATAGCGAAAATAAAGATTTGGTCATAATATTTGAGGTTAAAAAAGATAAAATTTGTGTAGAGATTATGATGATGAACTGTAATACAGAACATTCTTCACATACAAAAGCTATAAATAAGAATTTATAACATTTTGTTTTAAATATTGAGATAAACCTTTCTGAAGGGTACAAGAGCAGTACAGAAAGTCAGCAGAGAGGCAGAGGAAAGAACAATGGGAACAGACATACAGTAAGGAAAGTTTCAGCCCAGCCACTCACCTCCTACCTAGAACTAGACAAAAGAACACACACCAACAATGGTCAGGCCATTACCATAGAAACGAACAGGAAGAGGTGTGTGTGAGAGAGAGAACTAAGGTACTTCATCTACAACCTATAACGGTGAGTATGTGCTTAAATATGTATATCTACATAATTAAAGTTGACATTATCTAATATTGAAATCAAAACATGATTCCAGTTCAACTGGAAAATATGCTAAAGGAAAGAAATGATCTTAAGTATTTGATATTTTAAAATTACAAATGTAAACTTAATGAGGTTATTGAAGAAATACACATACACACTAGCTTACTGACATCATCGAATGTAGGTACTTGGTGCTTCCCTATCTATAATAGTTGTCATCTAACACAGTAGAATTAGATACTTTATACCTAGACATTGTTCATTGTCATCTAACACAGTAGAATTAGATACTTTATACCTAGACATTATTCATGGTCATCTAACACAGTAGAATTAGATACTTTATACCTAGACATTGTTCATTGTCATCTAACACAGTTTAATTAGGTACTTTATACCTAGACATTGTTCATTGTCATCTAACACAGTAGAATTAGATACTTTATACCTAGACATTGTTCATTGTCATCTAACACAGTAGAATTAGATACTTTATACCTAGACATTGTTCATGGTCATCTAACACAAGGACAGAAAAGGTAGAATATAGTGATTGTGTTGGACAGAAAAGGTAGAATATAGTGGTAGAATATAGTGATTGTGTTAAACAGATAAGGGTTAGAGTTGTACTATACTCGGTAAGTAAGAGTTATACCTGCTCTGTACTTGAGAAGTAAAGGTTTGAATTGCATTGTACTTGATATGCAAGGGTTAGAAAAAAAAGTCTAAAAAGTCCTGAAGTTTACAATTTCTTCAAATAGTTCAGTCTTTTTACTAGAAACTTTGTATGGTCTGACCGGGCCAAAGTTCTCAGCAAGATTATAATATAATTCAAAATCACAAGCAGGCAGTATTATCCCACCAAAGTTGTAAAAGTTACATTGAGAAAATAAGTTACTTAAATATTGAATTTGATTTTGAAATGAAAAAAATGTGAGACTGTTCTGAGTGCTCAAAAAATTTTGAAAAACACTTCGTGGAAAATATAGAGAGATGAAACCAAATGCACAAAACAATTGTATTCTTGACCACCCAAAAAAAGCTGGATTTTTGTTGGAGATTAATTGCTATATTCACTTCATTTTTAATTAATCAATGGAATGTGTGTAGTTAAAACTAGAATATTAGCAATCAGAAGAAAGATGCTCCATGTTTAACTTTGAAGTTAAAATGATTGGGGATATGTTGAATCTACATCTCTGTTGGTTTTTTGCTGTTGTGTATACATGAGTTTACAAATGATACAACAAATAATAATTTTTTTTAATGCAAAATGGATTTTTTGTGGAAAACTTTTTGCTTGTTTGTGTTCAGTTCAATGTACACTACTTATAATCCTTGAATATATATTTTGTTTAAAATCATTCTAATTGATTCCTGGGGTTATAAATTGTTTAGTGAACGAAGAGACTGAGAACAGCTCTGAAACACCTGGGATTCGTGGAAAAGATGTAAACATTAGCAATTATCGACATGCTTCATCAGTTAATAACGGTCTTGCTACTAAAGAAACTAAGAATGAAGATTATAAAATAGGCAAAACAAGGACAAAAAAGAGATTACTACAAGGATTAGGCTCAGTATTTAAGTGAGTGTACTTGTTTTTTTTTTTTAGATTACATGAAATGTGTAACAATTCTGTGTGAATGCATGTAATATTGCTTATCAGAACGAGTGTTTTTTGGCTCAACTTTGTGAATTTCTTTACAGTTTTCAATGTGATTTTAAAAGTATCAACTGTTGATGAAATTATTGTTTTGGTATTTATTGTAAAATGTATGTTTAGGAAATAACATATGTTATTTAATATATGAAATAACACAGTTTAGGTTATAAGATATATTGCCATGATAGTTAAATATTAATACTATAAATTTTTCAACAACAATGAAGTTTGGTTTTACAGTATGGTGCATCAACTTGTTGGTGACTGAGTATCAAATCTAGAATTGTGGATTTAAAAAAAGACCAAAACAAATTTATAATACTGATTAGGGTTTTTTCTTACAATACAAATAAGCTTGTGCAGGTAATTAGTCTTAGGTGATTGTATAGAGTATTAACCATGACAATGATGTGTTACAGTTATTAGAATACTTGATTTCGGAAAATGTAATGAAACCAAGAGGACCTTGGTGACACAGTGGTAAGCTTACAGACTTACAATGATAAGACCTGGGGTTTGATTTCCTGCAGAGAGCCCAATGTTACTTTGCTTTTAAACAAACAGATGAGATGAAACTAAGAGAGAAATAATTTTGTGCAATATGGGGTTTTTAAAATATCAGTTGTCAGAGCTAAATTCCTCATTATTTTAGTTACTTCAGAGGTCAATTCAGTGTTTTGAAAAATTAACTAGAATTTTGAATCTCTCAGTTGTTAGAAATTAATATTTAATTGGATGTTTTCATTACTATCCTACTTAAGCTGGATATTGGATAAAGAAAAACGTACAGAGGCTCTAATAAGTAAAGTTATCAAGGTTTGAGAGTGATATAAAACTGTAAGACAACTTTCAGTATTATTTTAAGTTGATAATAGGCAAGATTTACAGGCTCTGTAAAATGGCTTTTAAAATGTGAAATCCACATGATGTGAGATCCACTGAAGTGAAGATTCAGTCCAACAGTATTTGTGACTAGATATGTTGGACGGAACACACGTTATAAGGTACAAGTAGTCAGAATATTTAGTCATACTATTTAAGTTTACTTTTGTTTTCTTGAATAAATTGGTTATTTTGATAATTGGAGAAACTGTGAACATAGTTTTTAGAAGTATATTTGATCTTTAAGCTAGGTTTGGAAAAAATAAGAAGCTAACACAAGATCAAGTAGGAAAGTCATGTCAAGAAGAAGCAAAAGAAGAGCACTCACATATATGGCAAGATACTCAGGAAAAACAGAAAAGGTAGAATATAGTGATTGTGTTAAGGACAGAAAAGGTAGAATATAGTGATTGTGTTAAGGACAGAAAAGGTAGAATATAGTGATTGTGTTAAGGACAGAAAAGGTAGAATATAGTGATTGTATTAAGGACAGAAAAGGTAAGGATTAGAGTTCCATTGTACTGGACAGATAAGGGTTAGAGTTCCATTGTACTGGACAGATAAGGGTTAGAGTTCCATTATACTGGATAGGTAAGGGTTAGAGTTTCACTGTACTGGATAGGTAAGGGTTAGAGTTCCATTGTACTAGATAGGTAAGGGTTAGAGTTCCATTGTACTGGACAGATAAGGGTTAGAGTTCCATTGTACTGGACAGATAAGGGTTAGAGTTTCACTGTACTGAATAGGTAAGGGATAGAGTTCCATTGTACTGGATAGGTAAGGGTTAGAGTTTCACTGTGCTGGATAGGTAAGGGTTGGAGTTCCATTGTACTGGGTTAAACATGACTCCTACCCTGCCAATTTGTTTTTTGTGTCCCCTAGTTTTTGCACTTAATGGTCATAATCTTAAAAACTTAAATCGGATCTCCTCTAACTCTTCTTTTTTCAAGAGAAAACAATTTGTGTGATGACCTTTCCATCTCTGGTATCATCCTAGTAGCCCTCCTCTGAACCCTTTCCAACAACTCCGTGCCCTTTCTGAAGTAAGGAGCACAAAACTGAACACAGTACTCTAAATTTGGTTTAACGATTGATCTATACAATGATATTATAACCTCTTTAAACTTGTATTCAGTACTTTTGTAAATACAACACAAAATTTGATTTGCCCCACCTCTGGCGATGGTACACTGTTTTAAACCTCTTTGCCATAACATCTTGAAGGCTATTCTCATCAAAATTATACTGATAATTCAAATTAGAATATCCAACATGCATTACCTTGCATTTATTATAATTAAAACCCATCTGCCATTTAACTGCCCAACTCACCAAATAATCCAAATATTTTTGTAAAGCAGCAATAGCAGTGTCCTCACAGCAAGCAACACCCAAAACTTAGAAAAATTAATAGCAAGTGGCTCACATATCTAATCCTTATCCTTCTTGAAAACCCTTGGGTAAATATTATCTAACCCAGGAGCCTTTATCATTCTTTGAAATCCTCACTTTTGTCATGAAGTGTGTAGGGAGAAGATATTGAAGGTTCAGTATGATGCCTGCTTCAAGTTATGATTGTTTTAAAACGTTCATTGCATTGGTCACTTTTTACAAAGACTTTAAATAAAATGAGCTGTAAGAATGCGGATCTAGTTACATGGAATATTATGCTACTGAAAAACGTAAAACTCAAGTCCAGACACTCAACATGTGTACCGTTTACAGGTCAATGGAATTGAAATGACTGGTTTATCCCAGACAGAAGCTGTTGGAATTCTGAGAAACATTCCACAGGGAGGATATGTAAATCTGTTGGTTTCTCGACAGGAACTTGTTCCTGCTGTCAATCAAATCCGGTCTCAAGATATGGTCAGCAAAAAACTATATAAGGTATATTATAACAGTGCAATATATAATAAAGCTTTTGAGCTCACTTGGTGTGTGTGACTTACATGTACATTGTCATCAGACAAGAAGAGTTTTATAGAGACAAAACATAAACATTACAGTTTAGGTATTTTAGAAAATCATTTTATTTTTTAAATAAGTAATTGAGTTTACTATAAGGTGTTAAAACAGTGCTAAACTGTGGCAAGAAAATTTATAGTTTGGTTAAAAGTTTACCAGGAAGTGTGAAACTATTCTTCAGTTTTTATCGAATGAAATGGCTTGGCTTAATTTAGCTGAAAAGCTCAATATGTTTTGAAATCGTTTTTTTTCCGACTGTTTTTTTTGATAATACAAAAAGGATAATTTATGATAGTCCTGTGATGGGAGAAAGTCATTAGGATGAAAAGTGGAAGAACTGAGCAAGACATGACAATTAAAAAATACAGAAAAGTAATTGTAGATTTCAAAAACTGTTTACACTTTCAAATCCTTTTACTTTGAGAAGAGGCTACTGAAATATCTCTGTTGATATCTTTAAGTATTTAAAACCGTTTCGAAGAAAATAGTTTATTAAGTTGGATTTTAATTATTTACTGACCATTATGAAATCGTGACAATGAAACACTGAGGTTATTTATGTGCCTCTCTGCTGCGTTAGTAACCTTTATGTCTAGACTGTTTGATGATCTCATTTTAGGGCTACATTAATCCCAGGATTATGTTTCATAACCTGTCATATAATTTTTTCTCTTTCTCTTATCTTTGGATCTTAGCCACCATATCAAGCTGGAGATGGATTTGGGATTGATCGTTTGAAACATAGGGAAATTCTGACATTTTGCATACCATTGAATGACACAGGTTTAGGAATTTGTGTCAAAGGAAAAACCAGTATAACGGCAAATGGTCCAGTAGACTCGGGTATTTTTGTCAAGGACATTATATGTGGTGGTGCTGCATCAAAGGTGGAGATACACTGACTCTTATGTGTCTTTCACTTTTCTTCTTTTTCATGTTACCTCTTAGATAAAAATTAATTTTTATGGCATCTCTCCGACTGAAATATAAAATTTGCTATTAACTTTTAACAGACTTTAGTTATTACCTAACTTTATGAACATTTTATGTATAAACTAATTTCTAGTCAGAGTTTAGTAAGAATCTCTTCGTTATTATGCTTAGTTTAAAATTTTTTGACAGCTTTGTTGCAGTAGTAATAGGCATCTATTTGTCTCAAGAGACAATAGTTTTATTTTTTGGTGCAAATTTAAGGGTTTTATTCATTCAGGCACTTTTTTATGGTAGCTGAAAAGTCCTATCTGGGATATGCAATGACAGAGACATTTGTAACAATCAAAGATGGTTTGTTGTTATGGAGTGGGTAGTGTATTTCTCAACTTCCTGCTAGTTCTTTTAAGTTCCTCTTCATTTGCAATCCCTGATTCGTGAACACGATCCCCCTCTTTTGTTGTACAGTTTGTTTAATTCTGTCATACTCTTATTATTCAACCTCTAGACTTAAAGATAGACATCTAAATAATTATATTTGCATACTTAATTCTTATAAAAAAATTCTCAAAATTATGAAGAGAAACAAAAGAAAAAGATGATTCTTTTTTGGTCATAACTGACTTTTGTTCTTTCTTAGAAATTTCATCTTGTCAGAGTGCAACTTAGCACTAAAAGTGATAATTCAAATGAAAAAGTTTTGGCACAGTGTATTTTTTAACTTTTTTAAAATTTATTTTTTAGATACAGAAAATAACTGTTTACATTTCTCTTTCCCTGATACTTTTAGTAATAAAATTAACATGTTAGTACTAAATATTTACTGCACTCTCCCATATTTGTAAACTAACTACATTACAACATAAACTATAACAGATGTTAAAACTTGTGCAGACAAGTTAATGTTCTATTTATAAATAATTGCTTCTTGAGTTTTGATTGCAAATACTGTGTTATTGCTCAACTTTACTTGACTTCCAGTAGAATCATTCGAAAATAGATAAATAAAAAAATTCTTTATGTCATTTCATTAAATGCTTGAACTATAAAAATATATTTCTAATATTTATTAATACTTCTGTTTTTATGTGTGGGTGGTAATCAGGATGGCCGACTCCTTACCAATGATCAGCTTGTCAAAATCAATGATATTTCTTTGCTAAGAATGACTAACACGGAAGCTATGGAAATCCTGCATCAAGTGGACAACTCTGTTGTTACCCCTAATGTCGTCATGCTGACTATTGCTCGACAGATGTCTTATTTTGATGAGAATGTTGGTCCATTGCCTTCATTAACTGGTCAGAGTAATTCAGTCTTTAACAGTTATAGAAGCTTCCTAAAAAAAACCACTAGCCCATTGGAAAACAGAAGTTCCATTCCAGATAATTCTGCCAAAGAAAATTCAGGAAGTACAGTAGTATTTATTCCAAGTATGAGTGTTAAAAAGTACGATCATGTTGAGAGAGGAAATAAAAGCATCAAAGAGGCAACTTTGACCAACCAGTAAGTGAGAATATAGATATACATTTTACGTAAAAACCTGCAAGTTATTTATGTTACATCTTTTGTAAAGATACCCTTTTATTTCTTTATAATTTTTGCTCTGATTTTAGAAAAGGTGTTTGACTAATGACTAGGTAAAACTTTCAAAAAAGTACTTTGGTACATGAAATAAAGAAATTTTATGTTTAATATCTAGTATGCTGATATTCACAGTGTTAGTGTCAAAAATGTACATTTAATTGTCACAGTGTTTGTTTTTTTTTGTCTCTCCAAAGTAAAAGTGATACTTTGTCCTTTCCCCAAAATATTATTTGATGTGTGTATGTGTGGGTATTTCTCCATCCTCATTCCTACTCTAGAAAGTCACATTGATACATATTTGATTCATCAGGGCACATTCAATGCACGTTTATATAAATGCTTGTGAATTTAAATTAAATATTAAATAAATAAATAAATTATTAAACAAATAAGTGACATATTTGGTACAAAAAAAATCAATTTCTTATTAAATTTGGGAATAGATATACTTTATCAAATAGTACTAATTATTGAAAATTATTAAAACAAATATATACCGTATCCACTAAACTTCACAAAAACATGTAAGTTCTGATGGCACATTTAGAAATATTGCATAACTTTAAATAGTATGTTTCACAGTTGCGTTTCTAAAGATAAGAGTCAAGTGGCTTTTCTGTATAACAGGGTTAACTGTTTTGATACCTGATTTTGTAATCTGGGTAAAGTTAATTTAATGTCTGCTAAGTACAACAAAATGATGACTAACAATTGAATGGCAGTACTTAAATGAAACTTAAGATAGTCCAGTACATTGTTAGCCGTGATGATGTAACTATGAAGATAAAATCTGTACTAACATTTCTATGTCTTGATCTTTTATATTGCTTATAACACTGTAGTAGTTTTAGTTATTAAAAAGTGTCTTATTAGCAACTATTAGATGTTTAACCCTTTAGAGCACTTACATGGTTTGCATAAGGTTTCACACTGAGCTGAGAAAATATAATATGGATACCACAACAGCAGTAAAATGTTTCAGTATTTTTTTTTCTGTTTTTTCGAGACTCTGCTGCACTTGACTGGCCACTTTCTTCCATATACTGCGATTTATGGAATACATAATCCAACTTTTAAAGAATAAATGTATAATTGTAACACATTAAAAGTAGAAAGTTAACAGTTTTTGTCATGTTATATGTTGTACAGTTAATCCTATCCAGATCATGTAATTCTTCATAGTTTTTAATTTTTATTCTGACATTAATTCAACTCTGAACAAAATTCATGACGTAACAATATGAGGAGAACTATCAAATTATTGAACAGTCAATGCTACACAAATTTGTTTGAAATTTTTGACTGTTTTGTTGTATAGTTTGTTCAACTCTGTTAAAAAGCATAATCTTATTATTCAACCTCTAGACTAAAAGTTAGGTATCTAAATAATCACATTTTCACACTCTTTCTTAGAAACCCCCCAGAATTATGTTAGACCTTTTAAGGAGCATAAGCCTCAAATTACTGACTTTTTTTTATACCATTCATTACCAGAAGGGCTCACATATTTTATTGTATTGAGTCATTGTTTTTATCTATTACAAATACTTAATATAAAGAAATAACCAGAAAAATTGGGTGAAATCTCTGATTTTCAATGTAAAATACAGCACTGTCTAGTCTAGTAGGACTAACTGTTACATAGATGGTATTTTTGCTAAGAATCTTTGTGTAACATGTAGAAACAATGACACAATATACATAAGAGTAATCAGTGATGATTGTGTCAGTTTGATGTCAGAAACGTTATGCAGTGAGAGCTATCATATCTATCCTATTGTTCAATTACTCAGTGACTTAGCTCATTTGTTTATCAATCTTATCTAAGTTGAAAGTTGTATTTGAAGTTAGGCCTACACTAGTTTTTGAGTTTATGTTGAAAAGTTTCTTCATGAAATTAGGCCTACAAGTGAGTGTGGCAGTAGCAAACATTTATTGAAGAAATAAATTAATTTATTATCATCATGTCCACTGAACTTGGCAATATTTTTGATATAACATTCTGTCGAACCTGTCCAATGATAGAATAATTGTTTCAACAAAGTTATAGACCAAGAAGCAATTTAGTGCACGAATAGTTTAGAAGAACTTCATTTTGGACCTCATCAGTGATTCTGTGGCTAATGACGCATTAGGGAATGTATGACATTAAGTACATTAGTTATACAAAATTGTCTGCATTGATTTGTAACTTACTTTCTATATTATCTAAATTCTGATGTATTTGTTAGCTTATTTCATCAAAAGTTCTTAAAAATAATTCTATTAATAATATTTTTATTCTGTAAGACATATATATACATACACACGCGCGCACACTTCAGAAGATAAAAAGAAAAATTACTCTCTGTTCTATTACTATTAGTATTGTGTTTGTTGGAGAAATTTTTTTTATATATATTTCAGACTTTCAGTGGATGTTGAAAGTCAATTCTCATTAACAAGAGATGGTATTGGTCGACAAAGTATGTCAGAGAAACGATTTGCTCGGTTGGATGCTCGCTACACTGACACCTATCAATGTAATAAGCGAGTTCATGATGAGCCCAAAAAACACAAGCTTTTGCAGACTGAAGAGCAACAAATGTCAGAGCAGCAGGGAGAACTTGGTGGTGATAGAAGTCAAGAGAATTGTAAGCGTATAAACTTATCTTCATATTACTTCAAGTCTTCTGTAGGGAAGCAATATTTTGCTTGTATAGTTAACTATTTTTAGTAGTTGTCTTGATTTTGTGGTTTACTTTTGTTATTAATATCTTCTGATCAAAGCAAGATATATAAACATAAACCAGAGCTAAAAATTAACCCAGTATTTATTTTGTTTAAAACCAATATTTTCATTCACCGTTGACCTGCTGTCTTTTCTTTTATAATGTGGAATGATAACCATATATACTGTAATTGATTATGTAAGAGAAATTGGAAGGGCATCATTTCCATATCCCCAAGTATAACATATTTGGCTCACCTGAGCAATGACAAATTTTCTTATGCCTGCATCTAAAACTTTAATACTACACTTTCCTCCATATTTTTAAGAATTCAGGATGCATGGTGGTATTTATTCCAAATATGAGTGTTCATAAGTACTGTCGTGTTGAGAGAGGAAATGAAAGCATCAAAGAGGCAACTTTGACCAACCAGCAAGTAAAAATATAGATATACATTTTATGTAAAATTTGTAAGTCATTTTGAAAATAAACCCTTTTCTCTTATTTATTTATAATTTTTGCTCTGATTTTTACCTATTTATCAAATTTATTATTATAATTATTTATTATTATTTATACCTATTTATCAAATTCCATGAATTAGGATACTTAATCATGTGACAATGCATTCTGTACTGTTTCAGTTTTTCTATGTCGCTGTACAGGAAACGTTTTTAGGGCAAGGTTTTGAATAAGTAAGTAACCTCAAGGCTGTTTGCTCTTCTTTCAGTTGTTGCAAAATGCTGATCAAACTTTTCTCATGTCTCATGCTTTCAAGTTCTGAAGCTATCTTTTGAACTTGAAACCACTGGAAAGTTTTAGACATTCAGGTCATGTACATCATATTGTATTAAATTTAATTCCAATTAGTCAAGAATATGAATTTCTAGAAATACCTAGATTTTGAATATATGGTGTAATGTATATATTTTTAATTGTTTGCGTGTTTCTCTTATACATTAATCATTCACATTTATTTTAGTTTAAGCCTAATATGATCAAAATTAGGTGTTGTTGCCCATCCAAGTGAATAAAACACCAGAAGAAAATATGACTAACTGTAATAGCTCATTAGGGCAAGATATCACGGCTATCCTTTATTAAAAGAGATGTATAAGATTACTTGCAAACCAAAATTTTAAGCCTATTTATACACATATGGATGTCTCAATAACTGTGTTTTTAAAGTATCTGAACAATTCAAGACTAATTGTATCATCAACACTGCTATATAAGTGTCTTCCTGCTATTTTCTGTACCAAGCTAATCTGAAAATCAGAGTCAGTGAGTGCAGATATCTATGGTGTAGCTCCGAGCATTTAGTAACATTTAACTACTTTAACTCTATTTGCCAGTGAAATTTGTTTAATTGGACTTTTTGGGAGATTAGCCACCATCATTCGCTTCATCTTTAATTATTCAGTAGAATGTGCAGTTAGAAGGATATTAGCAATAAGAAGAAAGAGGTACATTATAATTATAAACTTTATTGTTCGTAGGTCCCTCCCTTGGGTTGAAGAAGTCAAGCAGCCTTGAAAATTTCTCAAATGTGGTCCAAAAGCTACAGATGGAAAACCAGGACCAGACACCATGTTCTACCCGATCCAGGGGCAAAGTAACAAGAGGACGTAGCTGCAATGCTAGCTTCCGAGCTGCAGTGGACCACTCTTACGAAGGACCTGTCAGTGAAACCTTGGAAACCTGTAAGATGAAATTTGAACTTACTATTTTAAAAAATGAGTTTCTGACTAACTTTGAAACTGACCTTTTGGCTGTGGTACTGTTGTCTGTTGCAGTTATATTGTCAGTTCCTTTTGTATATCCAGATACTAAACTTATTTAAGTTGTGGGTATGCTTGTATCTCACACTAAGGATTTAAAGAGGAATCATGCATTTAAAATGAGTGACAAAATTATGTAATATGATATGGATATATCATATTGGCTCGACAGTTTTTGTAACTTGAACGTTTCTGTTCTGATACTTGTTATTTGATACTGTAGAGCCACAGTTTGCTGAAGATGTATTTAAGTGTATATTCATTGAAATGTTTACATACAAAACTTGAAAACTTGTGTGACGATATAAACACACTAGTTTTCACAATGCTTTCTTATAGGAACCTGACAAAATTGAACTGAAATTGCTATTATGCAATCATTATTATTATTTTATAAAAACACCAGGGCTTAAGATGTTTAAAGAAGTGTTGTTGAATATATCATTAATAATATCTATGATTATTTTGAGTATTAGTCATAAATAAACTTATTTATTTAATTGGCAAGTTCTTTTAGAGGTATAAAATCAAATTCTATTACAAACGATGATACGCGTTACAAACATACGTAACCAGACATTGTTATTTTTCATTTTAAGCAGTTGAGAATATTTCATAGTAGCACAGTGAATATCAGCCTTCCATTTACCTTGTGTTGTTTTTACTATTATTCAGCATGATGTTAATGAGTTAAATCATTACTTTTTATATTTTAAACTTTGTAATATAACTAAAATGTGAATATCTTTAATTAATAATTGTAAATAAATGGATTTAATGTCTTGTAAATTTTGTTTCTATTGTGAGTAAATTATCTAGTTTATCTGTGGTTTTCGGGTTTCTTGCGTACAATTATATTTCCTTTCATTCCTTTAAAGTTATATGAAATGACATTCTCCACCCGTTAATGAGAAACTGAAGCAGTAGCTGTTACAATGCAGAATAACTTCTGTTACTGTGAAGTTTAAAAGTAAAAATCTTTTTTTTTGCTCAAGAATGCAGAATGCAAATAGTTTACTCTGCTTAGAAAGAAATAAAACACTAAATACAATGGTAATAAAAACTTTAATTTGACACAACGTTTCAGGCCTAAACCCTTCTTCAGATGAGGTCTGAATATATATATACAGATCACATTTGGATTTCTTTTAAAGTATAAAAAAGTAAAGTTATTGTTTTGAATCTTGCCTAAGCATATTTTTAATTTACCCAGAACAAGTTGCTAATATCAGTGGTTATTGTTTAACCATTGAATAAATTTTATAGTAAAAAATACCTATAACTTGGCACCTAGCTCTAAAAAAATATTATCAATAAATTAAATCTGAACTTTTCAAGCCAATTGTCATACCTCAAGAATCCTGCCAAATTCCATCCTTAAAAACTAATTCATTTAAACCTAAGCATTATCTAAGCTGTTGAACAGAGTTACACTTTCAATTCTGTCCAGTCTGAGGTTTTTACTTTCATAGAAAAATATTTTAACATTGCATATGCTTGTTCAAATGAATAATATTTACAATTTGTGTAGTTTTACAGCATAGAATTGATATGCTAAGGCAGAAAAATATTTGTACCTTACTGGCTAAGACAGCTTTAGTTTTCTAACAGGTTGTTTTGTCCTTGAAATGGGTTGCCTTCAGATGTGGTAGATGCATTCAGTTTAAACAAGTTGATGAGAAGGCTTGATAAATACTTAAATGATTTTATTTTTATTTTAGAATTTAGTAGATGGAATGGCCTAGATGGATCAGCAAGGGACTTTAAATTACAGGGTTGAATCTATAGATATATATACTTATGTACGTCACACTGACCTTTTCCTTTAAATTTCATATGACATGCTCATTCCTGCTCTTGTAAACTTAACAGAAAATAAAAACTCATACTTTTTATTATTTATGGGGAGAACATAACCAAAATCAATATAAAGCATTAAAAAGTTACTCTTAATAGTTCAGTATTTAAAGTTTTTATTTGTACTTGGTAATCTAGATTTTTAAATATGGTTTGTTCAATAATGTTAAATTGGATCCATAATAGATGAACAGTAACTTTCAATCTAAACAATTAGAGAATTTAATACTGAAAATAACGATTTTTACTTCATTGATTTCTAAGTTTAATAATCATCAAGAATCTGAATATTTGTTAAAAGGCTTTTGATCTAAAGTTTAGAATTTAATTGGTGTTTTAGCACATTATGCTGAGATAAAAAGTTTTATGGCTGTAAGTTTAATTGAAAGCTTACTATTTAAACCAATACTTTAGAAAATGAAAAGTAAGGCTTAAACAAATTATTTAATATTTTCAGAAAGTTTAAAGACAAAAGTTTCTTCAGTAAAAACAACAGAAAAGATACCTCCCTCTGTACGATTAAACCAAAAGATCACTCCTCTCACCTCAAACACAAGAAAGATTGGACGAAAGATTCCAATACAGCTGATGAAAGGTAGGTCTCTCTAATCAGGCATTGTTTAGATTACAACTTTTTTACCAGACATAAAATATAGTAAGTAAAAAAGATACAGTTGTACCTAATTCTTGACTAGTTGAGAAAGATCCTGTAGGTTAGGTTGGTAAAAAACATTACTTCTGTGAAACATTTAAATTTATTGTGATTTTTTAATTGTTAGATTTGTAACAATTGGCTACACTAAAGTATAAAAAACTGCTGACTTGAAAAAAACTATGACATTTCTAACATAGATCACTAACTGTTTACTAATTTGTTAATAATTGTCTGCGTAACTTAGGCTTGTTTAGTATTTATAAAATCATCACTCTTTTCCATTTCATTTTGATGATTGGGATACAGTTCTGAGATATACTTCCAAATTTAATAACGTTTAATCCAGTTTATCAAGTTGAGAAAGTGCAATAAACAATACTTGAGCTGCTTTGGGAAAGTAATATTTTTCCCCTCTGAAGCAGTTAACGGTATTAAACATGTCTGATTTTATTCTCGGGTGACAGTTTTAATTGAGACTAATGGTTTCTTAGCCTGACTAGTACTAAACACTTTATTTGACTATGGTAATTTTAAATGTTGTTATTTTCTGCATTGCTGGATTTGCTACAGAAATTTTGTATGAGCAAAATTACCTCTCGTTAGATTTGTATAAAGAAAAGGCTAAGATTTGTTCTTGTTATTATAATTTTTTTTTCAGTATAATTAATAAGATTTACATCTATCTGAGATAATAAGCCCATTTCTTATTTATAACTACATGTCTTTATTCTAGTACAACAATAAAGAAAACTTAAGAGGTATTAAAGTTTCACTACTTGTTTTTACTCTTTCTATATGACGCTGTCCAGTTTTCCAGTTAGTTCTAACACTTAGGTTTTTCCTGTTTTCTGTTGTTGTTTTTTATGGTGTAGTTTTAAAACAAAACCCTTAGAATAATCTATCAGGGACTCTAAGTTTCAAATAATACCAGCTGATATGACCATACACTGTTGTGATCATACTGATAAGTTACTTGTACTTCTATAAGAAGAAGAATACTCAGAACTACAATACCAATCCTCATCATTCCAGCTAGATAAATAATATCACTTATTGTATCCTTTATTAAACTATATCTGGTTGTAAGTTGTAAAACATTGATGAACTTTGGATACAAAGTCATTTATAAAGAACTGGTTTAATTACTGTCAACTCTTGTCATTTCGTCTGATCAGTTAGAGAGAACGACACCTACTATTTTTTTTTTCTTTCATTATTAAAGAGTTTTAATGCTAAGGTTTTATTACATTCAGATTTTTGTGTGTATTATACTTTGTATTGAAGTATGCTACTTCAACTGATTTTTTATATTTAGCACAACTGCCATGTAGGTCATCAATAAAGTATTTTTTAATAACAAGGTATACTGTATAGCCTCAATATAGTGACAAAAATAGTATATATTTCTGGAATGTTTGTTTAGGACCATTTAGTTTTGGATTCAGCATAACCACAAGGGATAATCCTGCAGGTGGAAACTGCCCCATTTATGTAAAAAATATTTTACCTAAAGGAGCTGCAGTACAGGATGGCAGATTAAAGCCAGGTGACAGAATTTTAGAGGTAAGCATGTATCTTTACACTGATGATGATAGTACCTCTTCATCACTAACTTACACAGATAAATAACTGAAGATAATAGATCATGATAAAATTAAAATCATTTAATTAGTATTGTAACCATTTCATGGATGGTGTGTCACTCAAGCTATGACTCAAAGTTTAATGATGTAGACATCTTTTTCTTATTAAAAATAATATTTCGGGACTACAGAAAAACATTTAATGTACCTAAGTGCACGTGTAGATTATAAACCATAGTGAGGGATACTTTAATCGTACAATTATAAGTACATCTACGTAGCTAAAATGCTTGAAATTAAATGTGTCACATTTTTTATATTTTCAGTAATTTTTTGTGACATGTTTCTATTTAACTTACACATAATTATAATTATATTTCCTTTAAAATACTGTCCATTTAAGTTTTATTCCATCTTTCTCAAATATTTTCAACTGTAATTAACAACAACTTACCTAAATAGTTCTTTATAAAACCACATCCAGTTAATAAGAAGAAAGTACAAATAATATTACGTAGCTTACGTAAGCTAGGATGTGCATATAGTGTAATCCACATGTGAAGATAATTTCTAAACCTTATAGTAGCCCCCTGATGGCACAGTGATAAAGTTGAGGGTTTATAATGCTAAAAGTCAGTGTGTGATCCCTGTGCTGGACACAGGAGGTAGTTCATTGTGTGTAGTTTTGTGCTTAATAATAAAAAATAAACCTTACAGACTTAAGTGTTTTTTCTATCTAGTTGTTTAATATACACATAAATGTATTAGATTGTCACAAGCTGTTTGGCAAGATTTTGGTACTTCTAATATTTACAAGAACATTATGGAGTCGGTCCCAATACTGAAGGATGAATACTGTCTACAATTCCATAACTTGCATATGGGGTCTGTCCCAGTACTGAAGGATGAATACTGTATACAATTCCATAACTGGATGTGCATGGGGTCAGTCCCAGTACTGAAGGATGAATACTGTCTACAATTCCATAACTTGGCAGTATGGGGTCTGGTCCCAGTACTGAAGGATGAATACTGTATACAATTCCATAACTGGATGTGAATGGGGTCGTCCCACTACTGAAGGATGAATACTGTCTACAATTCATAACTGGATGTGCATGGGGTCTGTCCCAGTACTGAAGGATGAATACTGTCTACAATTCCATAACTGGATGTGCATGGGGTCGGTCCCAGTACTGAAGGATGAATACTGTCTATAATTCCATAACTGGATGTGCATGGGGTCGGTCCCAGTACTGAAGGATGAATACTGTCTACAATTCTATAACTGGATGTGCATGGGGTCTGTCCCAGTACTGAAGGATTAATACTGGCTATAATTCCATAACTGGATGTGCATGGGGTCTGTCCCAGTACTGAAGGATTAATACTGTCTACAATTCCATAACTGGATGTGAATGGGGTCTGTCCCAGTACTGAAGGATGAATACTGTCTACAATTCCATAACTGGATGTGAATGGGGTCTGTCCCAGTACTGAAGGATGAATACTGTCTACAATTCCATAACTGGAT